GTGGTGGAAGCATCATGCTGTGGGGATGTTCTTCAGCAGTCAGGGTCGAGGGAAAGATGAATGCAGTTATGTGTCCAGAGCTCTATGGATCGCAGACTGGGACAAAAGTCCATCTTCTAACAGGACAACATTCCTAACCACACAGCCAAGACAACAAATGAATGTGTTGATGCATGCTCAATCATCCAGGCAAGCAAAGAGTTGATTCTGTTCATCTGGATGTTTTCAGTGGGATAAACATTTCATCACTTCTTCAGGCTCAGCTGACGGCAGGTTTCCCCAACCTTATAAACAGTACAATGCTGTGATTGCAACCACTGCCCAACTCTCTGTGAATGGTACTCATGGCCTTTGATCAGTGGTTGTCGATCATGGTCACGACAATTTGCATATTAAGGATCCAGAATCTCAGCTGCTGATGATAATTTTCCACAAACTATCCAAGAGATAATACACAATCACAGACATGCAGAATTATAAAGTCTCTGAACCCAACTCTGGAACCTTTCGAGAATCTCTTAAAAAGATTCAAATTAAATTGGCCCTACTACTACACTCAGTCTGCCTCCATTCTCCCAACTGGAGCTTACTCCAAAATGAAGCAGGTCTTCCAAACATGGGACAACCTCCCAATGTCATTAATAGGCAGAATCCACGCTGTGAACAACATCGTTTCTAAATTCATTTTCTTGTTCCAGAGACTGTCCCTGTTTCTACCAAATATCTTTTAAGTATAAGTTTTTAAGCAAAGCATTACTTCCTTCCTACGGCATGGTAACATCTCAACAATAAGTAGACCAGTACTTCAGCAGTGTGTCAGTCTGGTGGAACCAGTACCCCAATCCAAGAAGTCTGGATTGGCTCTCTGTTTAAAAGTCCTAACCTCTGATGCTATGGGTCTTTGTGGCAGCACAGAGCTTAGATGGAGCCTGATAGGTGAGGGGATTAGCCCAGTACTGACTGCCTCTGTTATCCAGGTGTCTTCCCTGCCTCCTCTGATAAGAAAAAACGGAGACCTGGGCAGCCTTGCAAGCCTGGTCCTACCAGTCACACCTGTCCTGGCAACTCCCCTCTAGATTGGTGCACTTGATGACTGATTTGGTCACATAGTCGCCTGGAAATAACTCCCAAGGGTCTGTTACTATAAAAGGGCTGGAGCAACCTGTAAGAGCCATTTATACTCATGTAAATTTAACCTAATATCCAAGTGTTTCGTTGAACTGAGTCCACTAAGAAATTAGTCACCGGGAACATCCCTAATTATATATACCAGTCAAAAGTTTGGACACAGCCTCTTATTGAATGCTTTTCTTTAATTTTACTGCATCTACTTTTATATATACATGCTAAAGACATCTAATATATGAAGCAAGATTTGCTTCATATATTGAAGAAGTGAAGAAGCTGAGAAGCTGAAGAAGTGCTTTGAACGCCTGGTCAGAGACTTCATCATTTCTTCACTACCAGACACACTGGACCCACTACAGTTCGCTTACC